ATTTACAAAATAAAACTAGTAAGAAGGTGTACATAAACTTGCAGAAAATGCAAAATCTGTATCAATGTCCTTTTTGCAAATGTCAGCAGAAAAAGGTCAGATCAGAGAACATTCCACCCAAAACCTCTCACTACCATATAACATGATTTCTGCTTCCCAATTATGAACTTTACATATCTATGTAGCAGCATTCCAGCAGCGCCTACATATGTAGTATTTATCTCCCAATTGATACGATATTCCCGGGCTTGTAATTCCTATCATGATTTCCTTGATAGAGAGTAGCTGCTCACAAGGAAGCTATTAAACCAAGAGTTCCAAATGGTGAAGTTGAAATCATCCCTTTGTAAATTTTTTGGACGCCATCACGAGTAGGTTGACCGTTATGGAATATCCGTTTCACAGATAATATCGGATATGTTCCCTATGTCGTAAAAATAATCCCGTTCCCTTTCACGAATGTGACCTACCGAATTAGGCTATTTACCGGGTTTGTAATAACATGAGCAATACGACGGGTGCCACATTTGGAGCAGGATCTGCCTATCCTTCCGGAGCACCGAGATTCCCCAGTGTTTGGTGGGATTCGTGTTGCTTAGTCTTTAGTTTTATATGTCTTGTCTTGTGTACTATTATTTGTCTGTTTGTCTTTTTCCTTTTTAGCCATGACGTAGTCAGTTTATTTTCGATCTATGAATTTTAATGTCCCTCTGGTATCTTTCGCTCCCTTTCTTAAGAACTCACAGTGACTGAAAGCGTCTTCAAAGCCAATAAGAGCCAATAACAAAGCTTGCAGTACGTTAGACTCGTGGTATTCTATAAAATTATACACCAATATTTTGCAATTTACCATAAAATTCTTCTGATTACTACAGACAAAAAAAAAAACCACCAAGACAACATATACAACCATAAACATGACTGAAATTACAATACAATTCAAACCAGAGGCATGTTTATTATGCCTCCGTTCTTACAATTAAGGACTTATAAGAATTTATATTTTATCCATGCGACATAATACACTCTAATTAATATCAGCCGTCCCGTTTCCAGCAACTAATAACTTCTAAATTTAAAAAGCAGATTTCAATGTTGTATAGTCGATGCTTCTTTAGAATTAAGATCTGTCTCAATTTGTCTTTAACATATACAGTCATCTATAATTTAATTAAGAAGCGTGCAATATTTTAGAGTCGTGGTATTCTATAACATTTTACACAAACATTTTGAAATTTTCTATCAAATACTTATACCAATAAGGACTTTTATTATTCCTCAGTATGCTTTTTCTATATAAACATAATGAAATTGTTGTGCTATTCCATTCCACAGACTATTGCCAGTCAATAGTTTCAAACACTATTACCCCGGTTAATAGTTTTATAATCATATTTGCCGTACTTTTTCATACTTTTTTTCATTAGACAATAATGACGTCACAAACTATTATGCTTGGATTTGTGTGCTTGGCAACATCAAACTCTAATATCGTTAACGGTATAATATCGTAAACGCCTCGAACAATAGTTGGTATCTTAAGGACAACAAAATTGATATTACCCTCATAACCAGTCAATAGGTGTATAATATGAATTTATCTTTTATTCATGCACCATAATACACTGTAAACTTTTATTAATACCAGTCGTCCTGTCTAGCAGCTAAGAGCTTATAAATTCAAAAAGGAGATTTCTTCACAAATATCCTAAAAATAGCATAGAATATACCTAGTATTACGTAGAAATATGCTATACTTCTTGTGAATCCGTTTAAAAGGAATATACATCTTCTGTAATATTTTGTTTAATGATCACCTTTTGTTTCGTACAACAAATTATATATTATGTTACGCATGTATTTCTTTAAAACTTTTATGACTGTAGACGTGTTAGATAAATGAATACTTTTGACAAACAACAAACGAGTCGAAAGACGATAAACATTTTAAAGGGGTCGTCTCAAAATACGTTTTGATTTTTTTTTATCGTTAACATAATGTATTATGTATAGTCAAATGAAGCATGATAAAGTTAAGATTTCATTATTTGCACTGGTATTTGCAGTCAATTAAATTGTGCACTCTTCCTACCAAAACAGCGCAAAGTTAACACATTGATTTATTTAACATTTAAGACTGCGAGTAGCAGGTTCGACATTAACGCGAGCTCGTATTGGATAACAGTATGCATTTATTGATGGCCCGGGAAACTGCTGTGTACAAGTCGTAAGCGGGTTTGTTTGTCAATCAAAACCTGATTGGTATCGATCTTTTGAGTTAAGCCATTTTCAGCTTATTTTTATAGTGTGTTCATATGTTGTGTTGTTATCACTATACCAGTTAAGGGGGGAGGGGGATAGTGGGTGGTGAGTACTAACAAACATGTATAACCCCGCCACATTCTTTATGTGCCTGTCCCAAGTAAGGAGCCTGTAGTTCAGAAGTTGTCCTTGGTTCATGTCTGTCGCATTCGTTTTTTTTTCATTTATTGTTTTGTTATAAAAGAGGACAAAAGATACCAGAGGGATAGTCAAACTCATAAATTGGAAATAAACTGACAACGCCATGGCTAAAAAAGAAAAAGACAAACAGACAAATAATAGTACACAAGACACAACATAGAAAACTATAAATTAGGCCGTTATTTTATCAATTGAATTGTTACAAATTTTTCATGTCGGGATCTTTTTAAGACGTCTATATGGTATGTGTTTCACTCATTGTTGGAGGCCGTACGATTGCCTTGAATTGCTAACATTCACTTTATTTGAACTCTGGTGGATAATTGTCTTTTTGACATCTTACCTCAAATCGTTATTGTTATAATGGATGTGAATCTAGTCCATATGTATGTGTACGGATTTAAAATTGTTCCTGTGGCTCCTTTTGCGGGCGATAAATTGCAAAAGATGTAGTGTATACTGCCGCCACTGCGTTTGGTAGTCCTGGACATCAGCCTTGTAAGGACAATCACTCGCCATACGACGGCCAATCCGATAGAGAAAATATCCCCCACATCAATTGGACTGCATACATACCTCTATCGTATGTGACAAAGTGAATGGAGAAATACTAAACAACAAAGGAAAAATCGAATAACACGAATAAAATTCAGTTCTTAACAACAAAATTACCATCAAAAGGCGATTTCTGGGAGACCGGTTGCACATGACCGATTTATACGGAGGCAAGTTCTAAAATTTTTAAAGGCTTTTGGTTTTGACTCCGAATATGATTCTGATTCTTTTATTTGAATAAACAAAATATCCTAGTAGATGAGTCATTTATTTGTGTTAATATATCGCTGTTTCATAAAAAAAATATAAATATAGATACAGCGTTTCTAGTTTATGACATGAATTTTGACTCTGTTCTCTGAACTGCAAAACACTATCGTTGAGTGAGGTAGCATTGGCGGATCCAGAGGCGTGTTCCGGGCGTTGGAACTCCCCCTTGCCTTCCGATTTGTTTTAAATTAGGTGAACGTTTCATGGTGTTCCGGATGTTATAACCACTTTTCAAAATTGTTGCATCCGCACCTGTGTAGCAATGTTAAATCATTATTATTGAACCGAGTAAATCAATAATAAGTTCTTCTCTTTTGAGATTGTCCCTAATTTAAATGTCTCAATCATAGACTCTCGACTTTCAATAGCCAACAATAGTTATTTATCTAAAAATACTAGTAAATTGAATATTTTTCCAAAACCGTTATAAAAATGTTGATACCTATCCAATGAATCAAGTTTGAGTCAAGAAAGGACCAACACGTCTAACAAAGTGATAATTTCTATATACAAATTTGGCCAATATGATTTCTTTTTCACATAATGCAAATGAATCAAACGGCCTTTTCACTTAAATAGTTTCTAAACAAGTTCAATTAACACGATCATCAAAAAGAATTTATTAGCAAATTGTATCGAAACCATTTTTTCTTTAAATGCCTGAAATTCACATAAATTTGATCTGGGTCAATGACACTTAATAATAATTTGGTAACTGTAGATTCATACACAGTTGTCTTGTTGCTGACTTGTTCACAAACTGTGTTACATACCACGCCATTGCATATGAACTCATCATAAATACCAGGATTGACATTCTGGCGTTTCGTATACAAAAGACTCATAATTGACGCTCGAATAAAAGAAGGTTGAAAAGGCAAAATAAAGAGCGAAGTTGAAGAGCATTGAGGACCAAAAATTCCTAAAAGTTTTGACAAATACAGCTAAGGTAAAAAAGCCTTAGTATTTAAAAAATGTAAATTTTTGTAAACAATGAATTTATGATTAGGACCATATCAATAATAATTCATGTCAACACAGAAGTGCTGACTACTAGGTGGATGATACCCTCGGGGAACAAAAATCCCACCAGCTATGGCATCGACCCAGTGGTTGTAAATAAACTCATCATAGATACCACGATTTATATTTTGTATTTGCGCCAGAAGCGAGTTTCGTCTACAAAAGACTCATCAGTGACGCTCGAATAAAACAATAGGTGTAGGCAATCAAGCGGATATGTGAGACCAGGTGACAATGTTATATTATTTTACCTAAATGATGTTAAATGAGAATCTACTTTCCAAAAAATAATCTAATTAGTAAAATCAAGTTATATTACAAACCGAATATAATCAGTTCAACAAGATAACAACGTCATTATATGATGAACTATGCTTGCTAATAGATATGGATTTGCTTTCGTTTTCACAATAATCGCATTGTCATTCAAAGCATCATCTTGTAAAGATTCAATTTTTCGAAGTCGTGTATGAAAATCTCTTATCAAGGATTTCCCAATTGACTACTAATCAAATGTTAAAAAAACCAATGTGCAAATAAAATTGAGAATTTAAATGGGGAATTCGAATATGCCAAAGAGACAACAACCCGACCAAAGAGCAGATAACAGTCGAAGGCCACCAATGAGTCTTCAATTCAGCGAGAAAATCCCGCACCCGGAGGCGGACCTCAACTGGCCTCTAAATAAAATGCCTACAAGTGCAGTAAAAATGGACGTCCTACTAAACTCTATAAAAGCATATATGGTCTGACTCTAGTTGCTGTTTCATTGCCATATTCCCCACATCTCATGTTATTGAATATATGATTGATTGACGCCAGCAATAGTTTAATTAGTAGTTTTTTCATTGACGCATAAACAACGTCTTCTTCGATTGATAAACTGATTGATTGATTACAAGTTGCTGAACGCCTAGTCATATATATTATATGTACTTGCATATTCAGGACGATAACATGTTATTTAGATAAGAATATACTTTGTTTATGCTATGTACTATAACAATACCACATTTTTGAATGGGCTATTCCTTTTGTTTCAGATGCCACCTGCCACGGTAATAAAAAGGAGGCATGATTTAAAATCGGTTAATAATATGGGTCTGAAGCTCCTTGAAAAGTTTAAGGATTTTAGAATTTCCCCAAAGACAGAGCTAGGGAGAGTAAAAGTTCGTACAGAGGACTTATCAGAAGATGACTGCAAACGTCATTTTAACGAGTATTACGTGGGGGGGGGGGGGGGGGGGGGGGGGTGGGGCGGGGGGGGGGGGGGATGCAGCGCAGATACTAGAGCTTGCGGCTGCACCTGGGGATAACTTGAAGAAACTCCTACATGTAACGGTCACACTAGCTAGATTAGGCAACAGACGAGGGAGGGCCTGCGTCATGTAGAAAACGAGGTAAATAAATATATTTTATCTAGAGTTTAGTGGAAACCTTCTTCAATAGTACGACCTTGTAGAGCGTCACCGGTTAGTGACCTCCTTTATCAGCTGAGAATTTGCTTACACGTGAAGCCGCAGCACCCTCTTTAGATTTATCTGTTGTTTTCGTTCTACAGCTGTGTACGTGTACATAAAATAAAACAGATGTAATTTCGATGTTTTTTCAAGGTTACATGCCCGGTTTTGTTTTTCATGTTTCTAACAATTATGATATTTCCCCCTAAGGTTTATTATGATTAAGCACACTTGATATAATTACAAATGAAAATGATAGTAATCAATGTTTTTATGGGACATTAAATACACATTATTATTGATTGTAGGATTCGGGAGATGAAGACCCCCCGTCCCCCTTTAAGAAGAAAAAGAAGAATCATGATCTTGTACGAAGAGCAGCAGATCTAGAAAAGTCAAAGGAGGATAACGTAAAAGAGTTGAAAAATAAGGTGAGGAGTTTAGCTTTACAGGCAAACCCTAGTGAGCCTCTAATTCTCCTTAGTCTTGACGAGTTGGCAAAAAAGGCGAGAAGGCAAAACGATGATGATGCAGAAACATTCGACGAATTAGCGCGACAAGCACAGAAACATCAGGGGTCGATAAATGTTGCCACTCTAACATTGAATGTACTAGGGGGGAAAGCTTCTGATTTAGTAGGAAAAGTTATGGCAAAATGTCCGAAGGAGAAGGAAGTGGAACAAATGATCACAGGGAATAAAGTTGATCATATTGAAAAAATGGAAACCACTTCACCCTTGGCTAATGCTTACCCTCCTGCTACATGTAAGCTAACTATTTCATGCCTCGTATGCCTACTGGATGGCATCAGAGAATGTTTCCCTTTAGTACTAGTATGTACCATAATCAAAGCTCTAGAAGATTTAGCCCAAGAAATGGCCAGTGGCGGGTGAGAGGAAATTGTTTCTTCTGTAATTCAACTGTGAAGGATTGTGAGAATATGAAAAACGCTAAGGGAAAATAATTTTATCGAGTTTTGTATCTAGTTTGTAACATTTTTTATATCTAGTTTTTCATTAATTAGTGCTTTAAATCATAATTTGTAGTTTTTTAAGTTGTGTCTCTGTCTGGGGACACTGATTCCCTAGTGATCTTTAGACCACGTGGACTGCAGGTGCTAAGCTTGTCCCTTTTCTTTATTTACCTAAGTTGCTTGCTTCCATTATATTTGTATACATTTTGGTATAGAAATTTATTCTGTATTCCTGGATGTGAATATAAAGAATTCTGGTTTTCCGTACCTTTCTACTCCGGAATGGGAGAAAAACGTTCAGTTTGATCCTCGTAGTGCCTTGCAACATATAAGGATGCACCCAACATGGGCAACGTTGGATGGAGACAAGCCAGCAAATGCAGTCCACCATATTACGATTGATATTTTGAATTCAGATATAGAAAAAATTCCTATTCGAGATCCTGACAGTTTGTATCAGGTGGAATTAATCAAAATAGCGATGAATGGTTGAAACATTTCGGCGACGATCTTCCTTTACAAATAAAAGGTTGGGTAACCAACGGTGTAGACGTAAATGATTTTGTTAAACATTTTAAAGGCAATTTTAAAGGAAAATCTTATGAAGGAAAGATACCACCAAAAGCTTATTTTCATAATTCTTCTTCATGCCGATTATTTATACCTTTTATTGAGAAAGAGATTACGGAACGGTTAAAATCAGATTCGATACGACTCTGGGGAAAGCTGGGAGAATGTGTGTTGCTTCGTATAATCATGCCTTTGACAATAGAGCCGAGTAAACCTCGACTCTGTCACGATGAACGCTTTCATAACCTATGGATCAAAGATAATCCGTTTCAATTAGAAAATCTAAAACATGTACCCCGAATGGTTTTGGAAAGAGTTGAAATGATAGCGTTGGGTGACAAATAAGGCTACGATCATGTAAAGATTTCGGTTTTCAGTTTGAAGGCTTGGTTTTTTCGTATACAGTACTCCCTTTCGGCTGGAAAGCTTCCGCTTTTATTTATCAATCAATCGGTATGCAAGTTACGTCATTCCTCAGGAAGCTTGATATCTTGACTTTACTATACATTGATGATCGGCTATTAATTGCATCTGATAAGCCTGACCTTCCCCATTGAAATATAAACACAATCAGTTATGCTTTAGTGGAATTACTTACTAGACTAGGTTACACATTATTCATTAAAAAAGTAGATTTAACCCTTCCTAGACTATAAAATTTTTAGGTTTCTTTATTGACTCAGAACAAAAATGTTTTCATTTGACGTCAGATAAGAAACTATCGTTTATCGCATTAAGAGACCTTGTTTTGAAATCTGTGAAGGTCAGCGTAAAGACTTTGCAACGGTTTGCAGGCAAATGTGTGTCAATGATCTTAGCTATACCGGCAGCAAAATTATTTGCAGAGAGGTCAACGCAGCTATTTCAAGCGGCATTAAAAACTCACGTGATGTAAACATTAGTGGTGACCTGAAAAGGGAGATCGTACACTGGAATTTTTTAGATAATTGAAAGGGTGTTACGCCTTGGAGACTCGAATTACACAAGCAGTTGACTATTGCAACAGATGCTTTATTATACAAATATGGGGTTTCAGTTATTACGGGGGAAAAACAGGGTTTACAGTTTGGTTTTTTTTTGGAAAAATGATGACGAGCGTCCTATTCACCTGAAAGAGGCAGATGCCATTATCAAAGCAATTAAATCTTTAGGTTCCATCGTGTGCAATTATCGTTTCGATATCTTAACGGATAATAAATCAGTTATTGCCGTATGGGAAAATCAGGGAGGTAGAGACAAATTATTTAATGACATCATGAAGGATTTATTTATGCTGGTATTCGAAAATAAAATCGATCTTCGTTTACAGTACATCCCATCTTCTCTCAATGTGGCGGATGCCCCCTCTCGATCAGTCTCTTTAGTTGGTCCATACTAGAAAAATACTTACAGACCACATACTGTTGGCCTAATGTCACTTTATTCTAATGCTTAGACGATGACGTCAGGTGAAAAACTCAAACATTTTACTCTAGCACCTTCTCCGTTGTCAGGAGGTGTAAATTTATTTTGCACAAGATGTTTCATTAGAAACGAATCCTTACGTTTACCCGCCTATAAACATTATTTTCCTGGTTTTAGCTTTTTTAAAAGAACAGCGTGCAAGACTTTTATCACACCTTTGTGTGATCAAGCACCGATATTGTAACCTATTATAAAACACCATGTAATATCTTCTTTTGTTCTCGGATTTAAAGGTCAGAAGGGAATCATTGAAGTGCCCTCCAAAAAAAGGTTACATCTTAGATAATAGAGGTTTGATGTGGACTTTAGTTGCGTATAGGTTATCATTTTCATAATGAAATATTTCAGGTTGTGGTTGTTGATCTGAAAAGAATTGATGACAGAATTATGTATCTCCATAACCAGTAAATCAAGTCATCCCATCGTAGAGGAAAAATCTCTTCAAGAAAGTTTTTTTTAGATTTTTTAGATATATTACCTCATAAGCCATGTCTTGATACAGTTTCTCCTCACGATGTTAAGAGATTTCTAGTTTGGAAAGATAGTAATGGTCAAACATAAATTCACGTTAAATCGTGCATCAATTTGGGTAAAAAGGTGTTACAAGATGTCTTTGCCCTTTTCGATTGGCTTCAGAAACTGTTGAAAACCTAATTTCATATCTTACTGATATATTCGAGTCCGTCGGCAGAGGCAGAACTTGCAGCTTTAAATGTGGGCAACCCCGCTGCTTCGGAACCAGTAAGAGGATATTTAAAAGCAGTTCGGGAAGAACAAGCTAGAGCCCATATTGTACCAAAACAAGCATAACCTATTTTTATAAACAAAGTCCGTTTGATAGCCGTCTATATTAGTAGGAATTAAATAGATCTGACCTTACTTTGCGGGAAAAAATTGTTTTGCAAAGAGATCAATCTCTTTTGAAATTACAGTTTTTCGCAGGTGATAGAGCGAGTGATGTCTTATCACAAGAAGTTAAGGAATTGGATGATGATAGTGGTATGTTTTCAATCACATATTTGGGAAAACACTGCGTGGCGGATCAAATAAATGAAACATATTTTTTCTGAAAAGATGTGATGATAAAATTGTTTGTCCTGTTTCTGGGCTTGAGTCATATTATACATTCACGAAAAATCACGTAATTTCCCTGAAAACTGGCTATTTATTTAGAATAATTACAGAATCGGGTAGAGTGCTCGAAAATCATGTGTCGTATTCTTCTATCTATAAGCTTTTCAGGGGTTACCTCATCACACTTGGTATTTTTGAAGGCGAAACTCCACACAGCATGAGAGCTGGATGTGCTATCATGCTTGCACTTTCTGATAATAATGCTAATACACAGGGTGTAATGAACCATGTAGGCTGGAAATCTTAGAGAATGGCTTATTATTATACTAGGGCGAGCACTGTAAAAGATGCAAGTCATGTTGCATGTAATTTAGCAAAGTCCGTAAACTATCAGAATAATAATGCTACTCAGTTATTTTTTGATTCCCATTCTCAATATGACGATTTGAGTCCCGCGTTTAATTGATTGCATGGTCTATATCATTGTGACATAAGGGAGTTAATCGCCTATTATTGACAGATTGTTGTTTGTTTGTGATATACAAATATTTATATATATATATATATATATATATATATATATATAACGCAACGTTTTATCCAACGCAATGATATGTTTGAACGTCATTTTCAATTAAGACTCGTATAAATATATATATATATATATTAATATTAGCAGTACCAGACTTTAGACAGATAAATACATCTACTAAGATTTTTACATTTGTATGATTTTAGTTTCATTTAATTAACAGATATATAATTTTGTAATAAAAGAACTATTATTTTCTAGTGATATGTTTTATCTCTATAATTATGAATAATGGATAACTCTTTGACGTAACACACGTTGTACCGTACTAATTATATTCTTATGTTTAACTTATAAGTTTTGGGAATACGTTATTTCAGTTTAAGGCCACTAATGTTCATTTAAGTACCGTTATTTGTTTTATTGAATAGCACTTGTTATCTATTTATGCTTATTTCATCCCAGTACTTGATCAGGATTGTTGAGTGCATTTCATTACCTTCACTTGGGGTATTTTGAAATCCTCAGTGAAGTGTAACTGTGCACGATTACAAGCCTCACTTTCAATTTTGCTACAGGATATAGACAATTGGACCTTAATCCAAGGAAGTTATTGGGATATTAGTGTAGCCTATTACCTTTATATCTAAGATATTTTTCCTGCCCCTTCCCACCCGAAGTTCTCTTTTAGAGTATGGAATGCCCTTTACAATCCATAGTTATATCAGGTTTATTTTTTATCTATATATTTTGTTAGAAACGAGAGGTAATAGCTCCGTAGTATATGAAATACTTACACTGGCAGTTTTCAAACATTACTCACATTATGAAGAAAAAGTAATTTTACTTTTGTTGCCAAATATTGCATAATAGGTTGACATTTATAACGTTATAAATTAGTCTTATTTACCTAAACCATGTTGCTATTTTATTTACAATTTAATGCGTTTCTGTAGTAATGAAAACATATGTTTAGTGTATGTTTACTTGATTTTGTTAACATGTCTTTTGATTGAGTTAAGCCATTTTAATTGATATTTTGTGTATGTATGTCTTTCTATGTTGTTATGTTACATTCAGGTTAGGGTGAAGGTTGGTGCCTGTAAAAAAGCGTTTAAACCCGCTGTATTTGTTTGTTGGTTTTCATGTTTGAATGGTTTTACGCTAGTCATTTTGGGGCCCTTTATATCTTGCTGTTCGGTGTGAGCTAAGGCTCCGTGTTGAAGACCGTACTTTGACCTATAATTGTTTACTTTTACAAATTGTTACTTGGCTGGAGAGTTGTCTCATTGTCACTCATACCACATCTTCTTATATATGCGTTTTAGATATGATCACTATGTTGCACAAA